TTGGGATGACAATATAGCTCATTCTTCATCAATACCCGTGTACAAAATTTAAAGAAAAATCAACTAACTTTCGTAAAAATTTCGAGCTTTTTTAATTAGAGTTCCTAGAAAGATTATGAGTATGCAGATTCGCAGCCCATTGAATTATAGTAGAATAAGGTATAACCCTCAAAAGGCTTATTGGGGATCGAGCACAAATCATGTGACAGTGTCTTAAGAGATAAACAAAAAATATACTAGAGAAATAGCTTATGGAAATATTTATTCCTTAATCACATATGTAAGATTTTGAATATATTTTTATTTAAAATGCATACGTTCAGTGTTCCGGAAAGTAATTTTTACCAGTGTTATCTTCATTGAACATCGCAACGAAAATTCCCCCGATTTCCCCGTAAATCCAGCCACTGAGTATATGACTTTTCCATATAGTTAACACTCATTTACCCATTTTAGATCCGTCATGACAGTGGTATGCTACTCCCCAGACTTTGCTAGTCAGACTCCGAAGTTCACTACAAGCTCGGCTGTAAAAAAAATCTGTAATGTATTTCTTGCAGGGTATGCATCCCTTTTGAGTACTCTCACATTAGTATAATATGTATGCTACAGTATGCATGTAATTCCTTCTGTGAAATAAATGTAAGCATTACTGAAGAGCTACTCGGTGCTAAGCTTAGTGTTGGAATGCAGAACGACGTAGTAGATCCACTTGAGATTCATATGTATACTACATAAATATAAGGTCTAGTTAGTATACTACAACATGCACTTAACATAAGTTTGAGTTCTTTGGCATCGTATTACGAATTGCTAGCTTGCATAATAGCTTTCATAATTTTCGCATATTCATGACAATTTGTAAAATGTTGTCATTACTATTAAACATATGAGTTATTTTTAAGGAATTTACGTCTATGAATATGTACGCCATTAAAAAAAATGATATATTAGTAAAACCGCGGCCATCATTAAGCAAACTCCAAATAGTCTCATTAAATTTTTGCTCAAGCTTCAAGAAATGTCATAGGAAATTATAGAATTGCTTAAATCTGAATTTTATTTGAAAAATATTAACAAATCATATTCACATGCATATCTCGACCAAAAACCAGTTATTAATATTTATGCCTAGGCACAAGCATATCAAATTGATTTAAGTATGAAAATATATATATGTATGTGCATTGTATATACATGTCTGTAGAAAAAATTAGGGAATCACAGGTCACCAAAAAGTTCTTCATGCATGATTTAGATTTTTCTGGGATTAGGAAAAATATGTGTACATGCATAATTCTGGCATCAAAATAAGCGTTTTTTATTTTTTATTCAAATGCCAACTAGCTATGAACATATTCGTAAACAAATAATAAGTAAGCAAACAACTCACTTTTGTAGAATCTTTTGTCCAACTATCTTAGAAAAAGAAAACAAAAACAAACAAAAAATTTGAAATTCCTTGTAAATGTCCCAAAAGTGGTATTATCGAAATATAGAGACACCAGTGTGACTTTTCGGTTGACCCGCTGTAATTAAGCACTCTGTGAGAAGTAAATCAAATACCAACTATGTATGTATTTGTTTACTGAGTCTGGGAAAATATAAAGCCCCGTAATCGGTAATCAAATTTTAAGCTTAGTTTAGTATACTTTAAGCACAAAAAATCACAAAACAGCGAGTGTAAATAATTTTTTTTTTAGACTGATTCCAAAAAATAATAAAAAAGGGATGTCGGACGCAGTGCTCATTGAACCGGTCATACGAGAGCCGTTTTATAGGACAGTGACTTTTTAAATCACAGACATTTTTACGGTAAAAAAGCAGTTTATTTCTCCAATAGAAAAAGAAGATTCCCGTTATCATTCTGAGTATTTTGCTTTATATTCGCTGTAACTTTCCCACGTTGGATGGAGATGTTGTGCCTTACATTTCTATGCCGTATGTCGGCTCCATTATTATAGTATATAGAAGGACTTTGTATTCGAGACTAAATTTTGATTTTTGATTTGGTAACCAGAGTTGATAATTGAGTTTGAGTTTAATTTGGGTGGCCTTAGATTCGATGTGCTTTTTCTATCTAACTTGTGTATAAGTCCTTCGTGCCACACTTAGTCCAAAGCTCGACCAACGTCTAAGAATAATGCCGAAGAATATTTTTTTCTTCGCATATAAGCGAGACGATACCGTGCTCGAAATCCGAATTGGTGTTTGGGGATTATGTTGTGTTCTGAGATGACTGGCAATATCTTCTCATAGAGCTTTGACATAATTGGGAGGAGATTTATTGGTCAGTATGAGGGCGGCAGAGTGGCGTCTTTCCCCGGTTTTACTATCACTGTGATTTGCGGCTGCTTCCACGCTTTTGGGTAGTAATGGACACGGCCCTGGGAAAAACTAACTTTATTTGAGGTCATTATTGGCGCAACTGTTTGGCGTGTAATGAAAGTGGATTTAACTAACCATTGCACATTGGTTCAAAATTGACAGTTTATGTTGACAATTCACTGGAGTCTTCATTTTTCGCTTAATTTGATTAATTAGGGTTTAGGGTTCTCCCAAAATAAAAAAAAAATAAACAAATTCAATTTAAAATGTTATAAACAATTTTTGTCCAAAATTCATTATTTGTTTTTGTAAAAGTTAGGGTTTACATCATTGAATTTTAGTATGTTCAAGTGCAAGTTGCAAAGAGTTCGCGTTGATTTTTTTTGTTTAGCATACAAATGTGCTCGAAATGTTGCGAAAAAATTTTAAAAATTCAAATTCTTAGCCACTTGCAAATTGCACTTTATTAAATTAAAATTGAACTATCTGTAAAACTGCGTACCCAACATTTTTCTAGAAAATCAAAATTTTTTTTTAATTTTGGTGATTTTTTTTTATATCATTTAAAATTTTCCTTATGATTTTTTTTTGTTTTTTTGTTTCGGGAGCCCTACAATTGTTTTCAACTAGTTTCCATTATGTAACATTTATTAACTGGAACAGGAGAATCGATTTTCTTCAAAATTGCTACTTTTTTTAACGGAGTGCACATTTTTCAGATCTCAAAAATCCGAAATTCAGCTATATTTCTAAAACTGTTTTACGCTTTTACATTCTGATTTCATATTCGGATTCAATGTTGCTGTTGAACAACTACTTGCGTTATTGCCGACAAAACTGCAAGGCGGACCCGACTGCGTTCTAAATATTATGAAAAACTTGAAGATCTTTGCGATGCTCAACAAATTATGGATGGTGGAAAAGCTTAGAAAGTAAGCTATCGAAATAAGCCATTTGCGAAAAAAATACAAACATCGTAAATTTTTTTAAAATTCAGTAAAATTTATTTTATTGCAAATTAAACAAAAAAAAAAATGAGGAAATGTGGTTTTTTCAAATTCTTGTTGCTTCTCCACAATAAGTTTTTCATTAAAAACGGCCTCAAGCTTAATAAAAATTGCAGAAAAAAAAAATTTACGAAAAATTTATAGCTTTCACCAAAAAGCGCAGAAAAAGTTCTAATAGGTCAGCAATTTTTGTTTCTCTATCATAAGTGTGACATGAGCCACTAATAAGCTTTCGATAGTCTGCTAAGATACATAAGTACTCGCATATATTATATTAACTATCTGAAGCACTATAATTAAGGTATGTATGTACATAAATAAGATATAGGATTAGTAACAGAATACAAGACAAGAAAGCGCGCACTAACGATGTAAGTTAAAATAATTTGCACTTTTGATACTTAAAAATAAGAAAAAACTTAAGCAATAGTCTAGCTACATACCTATGTATTTATCCTTCTAGAGTACGTAGCTTAGAAATGATTTTTACTGAAAGCATGCCGAATAAGTCGGTGTCATTACAAATGTGCAGAGGTACGTGTTATTGAGTTGTATGTACCAAGTTCGATTCCCGCGCCAGGGAAGAAACTGTAATGCAGTTTTTTTTTACAACAGCGGTGTCTTCCAGATTATGAAACACAGATTATCTGCCAATTATATAGGAATCTGAATCTGCTCAATCCGCCTATAAAAAAGAGGAATTTCTCTAAATAAAAAAGAGTCACAGTTAAATACGGTCTCTGTCCTCCCATTTAACTGCAAAATCTGTACTTGTATAGTAGTGGCAGGAAAATCGCCCTCAGACGTGTTGACGCCTACGGAATCGGCTGTGCAAGCTCATGGCATACTACTAAGTAGTCTGCCTGCTGTCGATTTTGTCAACGAAGGATTAAATGGTGGTAAACTCATAGTTCGCGCCATTTCCTAACATTTCTATGGTGGTCAAGGTCGCTCAGAATGCTGCAATAGACCAGGCTTCATTTTGTCGAACCTGGGAATAGAATTTCCAAAGCTTAAGCGACGAAAACTCCAATAGAAAAAAAATTAGCTGTCAGAAAGTTTCTTACGCAGATTGACTTCTTAATACAAACCAACCTAAGGGCAGGCATAAGCCAAACGCTTAGCAGAAATCTGGAACCGTAGTCAGCCAAGCAGCGACCTTAGGTTTGATTTTAGTGTAAATATCAACCTTACCGCAAGGCACCCAATCGGCCACTGCTCAGGCTAGGTATCACGAAACAAATCACTTCTTTCGATATTCCAAACTTCAAGTTCGACTGGTCGAAAAGCAGATCCTCGCGAAGAGGTGGCGGCATAATGTTCGAGGAGCAGCTCGGCCCAACTTCTAGCTACTATCTTTTGATCTTACAAAACGCTATGTTACATCGAGGAAATATTCTGTAATAGAATGAGTGCACTGAATGATATTAATGTAGTCTGTCTTTGCACACTGTCTCGACTAGAGCTAAGAGCGTAGACAATTTTATAATTTAATTTTTTTATTGTTACATTTTTGCGTTTTTCGTTACATTCGTCGTAGTTACCACTTTCTCTGTTGCGTTTTTATGTCTAAGGTTATGGGCGTATTGCTACAAAAATATATAAATACATCGGCCCTCGTATAGTAAATCTTTAAGTGCCAAGTGTGTAAGCCTTACTTACAAAATGACTACTGGTTTGATTGAGAAAGTAAATTCCGCTGAGTGCGAAGAAATCGGGGCGCGCGCGCCAAACATAATCGAACGCGAAAAACCTCCAACAAAGTACCCCAAATCGGTCGCATTCTTTATCACCAATGAGTTCTGTGATCGCTTCACTTATTATGGATTGCGTACGATTCTCGCGTTGTATCTCACCACCAAATTGCACTACGACAAGGATACGGCGACTGTACTTTACCATTCTTTTACCATGTCAGTGTATCTATTTCCAATAGTTGGCGCCATTATCGCGGACTGTTGGTGGGGTAAATTCAGAACGATTCTTTACTTCTCGATGGTGTATGTCTTAGGTGCACTGATTTTATCGCTTGCCGCCATACCGCCGCTACAACTGCCGGTGAAGGTGATCACCCTACTCGGTCTAGTGCTGATCGCGCTGGGCAAAGGTGGCATTAAGCCGTGCGTTTCGGCCTTCGGCGGTGATCAGTTCCGCATGCCAGAGCAAGCCAAACAGCTAGCCACCTTCTTTTCGATTTTCTACTGCGCCAATAACGCCGGTTCTACCATCGCCTCCGTAATCACACCAATGCTGCGTGAGGATGTGCATTGCTTTGGTGATATGAATTGTTTTTCGTTGGCTTTCGGTGCGCCAGCGGTGCTTATGTTACTCTCGGCTGTGATCTTCATTGCTGGCCGCAAATTGTATGTGGTTAAGCCACCTGCTGGCAATATTATATTCGGCGTTTCAAAATGCATTTCGCGTGCCATTACCGGTTGGCGACGTGAGCGCAAGACAAATCCACGCAAACATTGGCTGGACTATGCGGAGCCGACTTCGGGTCAAAAGATGGTGGCCGATACCAAGTTGCTGCTGAAGATACTTACGCTATTTTTGCCATTTCCCGTCTTCTGGGCGCTTTACGATCAGCAAGGCTCACGCTGGACCTTCCAAGCGACACGAATGAATGGCGAAACATTCGGTTATGTCATTAAGCCAGATCAGATGCAGGTCGCCAGCCCGTTACTAATTCTCGTCATGATACCGCTATTCAACTATGTGATCTACCCCATTTTGGCGAAGCTGGGCATTAAGCGACCTTTGCAAAAGCTCACGCTTGGTGGCCTACTGGCCGCCGTTGCTTTCCTGCTCTCTGCCTTGCTCGATGTCCAACTGAATACCGTCGATGTAACGCTTCCTACGGAATTCGACGCCCATCTGCGCATATATAATGGTATGCCCTGTGCCTACCGTTTTGCTACGCCGCTACCGAATCGGCCGGAATTTGTTGAACCACTTGGCTTGTTGGAGGCTAAGTCGTTGTCCGTACCGCAGTCACACGTTTATGTATACAACGCCACCTCAGCGAGCCTACGTTGCAAGGACTTCTCAGGCGCGTTTCGGCTGACACCTGGTAAGGAGACCAGCTACTACATTTCCGACGAAGGCATGCAGGAGTTTTTCGACTCGTCGGCTAAACCAAAGCTTGGTTCGTCAATGGTGCGCGTGTTGCTAAATGTGCCGGCCAACGAGAGCGCTATCACCTTAACTGTTGATGAAGCGGAGACACCGATGCCTTTGGTCCTTCACAGCGTCACCCAGGTGGTGTACGTCGCACCTGGAGAAACCAAGTTGCAGCTGGCGAATAAGCAAATCACAAGCATAAATACGAAGAGTGGTGGCGTATACGCTCTACTGGTACAGGGTAATACCATAGATGGCTTCAACTCGAAATTGCACGCCATTGCCCAGTCAAATCGCATTCATATTATGTGGCAACTACCTCAGATAATTGTGATGACAGCAGCTGAAATCATGTTCTCCATAACAGGCTTGGAATTTTCATACACACAGGCACCACCGAGTATGACGTCCATATTGCAAGCCTGCTGGCTCCTCTCCATCTCTATCGGCAACTTGTTGGTGGTGGTTATAGCTGAATTGAAATTATTCAAGTCGCAGGCTGCTGAATTCGCACTTTTTGCGGCCATCATGATTGTTGACATGCTCATTTTTATCTTACTTGCTATTCCATATAAATATGTGGAGCATGGCAGGGATGAGCAAGCGAATCAAGTGGTGGCTACAACCGGCACTTGCAAGCACAGAGAAGCAGAGAGGAAACCTTACACGGGCAGTAAAGGAAATGGGCAAGTCAATGAGGTTTACGAAGGAGGACATTAAAAGGCTTTAAGAATGTGTGTGTGTGTGCCAAGGTAGAGGATAGAGCCAGGATGAAGAAGAGCATTTGGGAGGGACGGACTCTGTCAACTAATGAGCCAATTTTTTTCTAAGCTTGGACCCGATAAAAAGTTATGTTTGCGGATATATTTAATCATCGTACTTTGATTGCGGTATATTTAGATATATCGTCGCCTAATGGTCTTAAAACGTTGGCTCATTCAGTTTAAAGTTCAATAGAAAAATATATGCAGAATAGAAAAATATAAACGAAACCGCATTCGAAAAACTTTAGAACTTATATTTTAAAACAAAAGGGATGCCACACATTAAAAAAAAACCATAGGTTTAGGTATGTGTAAGTTAAAAGTATATTTCGAAATGGGTAGTTAGGAAATTACAGTTATTTAAGAGCACAACAGAATCGAGCTATTTTAAAAGAAGGTTGCCACCTGAAAAAAAAAAAATTATTGAAATAATATAAGTTTTAAATAAGATGTAAGTAAGAACACAGATATCAAATAAAACTCAAGAAAACGGTTACCAACATTTAATAAATTAATTTTAGTTAAATTTTTAAGGTCAATAAAATGTTGCAATGTGGGTATCAAATGAAAGATGTTTAAGATCACAACTAATTGGAAGCATTTGACAGAGAGTTGCCACCTTTGAAGGATAAAATTTTTAATTTTTTAAATACTTGCGTTTATACATACATATGTACTCGTACATGTGTATGCAGAGCAATATTAACAAATCAGGAGAGTTTTTTAGAAACGCTTGCCATCTTTTCAGAGGATTAATTTTTAGTTAAATTTTGTAGGTTCAAACAAAATTTTACAATATGGGCATCAAATGAAAGGTATTCTTCATCACAATTGGCAGCATTTTAGAAGGATTCTAAAAATTACCACCTTTACAACAAAAAAAAAATATTTAAATACGAATATTAAATGAAATATAAAACAAAATGTATTAGAAACACAGACAATTTTTTACAAAGTGTTTTCACCTATTTCAAAACGAATTTTAAGTAAATGTGTAAGTTCATTAAAATATTTGATGTCCATACGAAATGTATCCAAGATCATAATTAATTGAATGCATTGTATATAAGGTTTGCTATCTGTCAAGCCAAAAAAAAAAAATGATTAGGATCTCATGATTTGAATAGTATCTACACATATGTAGATTAAAGCGTGCCAGAAAGAAAAGTTCCCCTGAGAAATTAGTTTTTGCCGAATGTAGGGGAAGTTTTTGTCATATCTTCGGCATTTATAGTTGGATCTTAAAGTATGATATATCAATGTTTTTGTATCAAGGAAACACATTTTTTGTTATATAAAAATACATAACTTTTGTCAGTCTAACCCACTTCCGGTCGAGACCCAAAGTCGGTAATACGACCAAAAGATAGATCTTCCCCGTCTTGGTAGCTCATATTTTTGTGTGTTTCCAATAAATAACATTTTCCACTATTTTAGAAGGGCGGACGGGTGGTCCAGGACACCTTTTATATATTATATATGTATATATTCTGTTTACGATATTTATTAAGAAATAAGTGAAAATTAATATTACAAGTTTTTATTTTATATATTATGCACAGCTTTGGCCAATAAATTGTAAACACATCAATATTTTTTTTAAATTTTTTCTTTTTATTTAGTAAACTTATTCAAAGTAGCCTTCATTTGTCATGCAGCAACGAAGAAGTCAGTTTTCCAAGACAGTCTTTGGAATGGTAGCCTTTTGTGATTTGTAGAAGGCTTTTGTAGTCAGATGGGTGAAATAAAATGAGCTTGCGAAAAGAGGGTCCATTTTATGCGACCCATTTACTGAGCATATTCTCATAAGAGCTAACCCTAGCAGCAGATGTTTGGACGTGCTATCTATTTTCTTTCCTTTAATTACTCGTTTATTATTACGATTGGGCTGGTAATATCCTATCAAGAGCTATTTGTGCAGAAAAATTGTGTGCTCCTTCATAGGAAGCATTGTAGACTCATCGTGAATACACTTAGGTTGTTCACACTTACCTGGTTATCAGGTTATCTGGTTATGTAGTTATATTTTTTATTCAATTTACAACAATAACATACACTACATAATAATAATTTTAAAACAGATAACCTGATATTTCGATATCATAAAAAGGCATCCAGTGGCGGTGTTAAGAACGTAGTAAAATAGAGAGACATTTATACATATATGTCTGCTACTGAATTGCCTAGAATCTATTTTCCAGAGACGATTGGTTCTATTTTGCCAACACCGTGCTAGTTACAAGTAAAAATGTCTGACGCTACTTTAGATCTTCCTTACTGGGTATGCGGGAAAAACTAAGCAGCTACTTGGCTTAATACCTTTTCGATAGACCGTATTAAATAGAAAAGTGCTTGAGTTTGTATTAACCGTCTGAAGCAGTGCAATTGAGATATGGGCATAAGTGCTGTCTAAAGTCGTCGAGGAATGCTTATACTTCCTTGTGCAAAGCAGGCAACTAAGAATAAGTTGCGTTGCACAATACGTATACCAAAGTGGCTGACTTTTCAATATTGAATAGGTTATGTTTACACTAGTGCTCGAACCAGAGATATGAATAGCGTAACGAGGTAACCGCTTATGATATATCCGACATAGAAAGACAGTGAATTTGATTGAAATTCATAGCTGAGCTGCTAGACCAGACCATATAACAACGTCTTTGGATTTCGTACCAGGAATCCCCTACTGAAATGCACCGGCAATGATATTTATTAGAAAGTCCCGCAATTTAGACAATCGCACCATATTTGAAGAAGATATGTTTGCCTTCAAGTCGAAGCTAATTTTATACAAGAGAAGTCAGTATCTTCGTTGATGGCCAAGTTTCATTGAAATCGTTATGAAGTAACTATTTACTGGGTTTCTAAATTTGGCTGCAACTTTATTGCGATCTACTCATCAGAGCTTACTCAATGTGCAGACTACGAAGCCATAAATTCGTTCTAACCTGAGGAAGACTTAAAGATAAACAAATCTGCTGGGAGTCTACTAACCAGCAGTAATAGGGGTGTCGCCTTGTTGCCCATTTGACGAAAAATAAAACTGATTCGATTGATCGTTTTCTATGTCTATGTCTAGGTCACCAGTTAAAGCCTCCCAAATCCTATATAGAGTACTGCCTTACCATCGGACCTCCTCAATTTTATTTGGAACAGTAAGTGACTTAATAGATACTACAAATATTGGCACTCTCGCTGTGGGCATTCACAATGAACTAATACAACCCCGAGTGGAAGTATAAAGACTTCATTCACATCTTATAATCTTAACCCAACCTAGCAATTTGACAAGTAGATCTTGGAAGACCGAATAGTCACTTAGAAACTGTGCTAGAGAACTCTATCTCGGACTAAAAGGTGTTGACTACCTGTTGTTGTTGACTCGTGTTACCAACAGGACAAGAAGATGATGTACTTAGTTTGGAACAAATTTCGGACATCCTCTTGCAATTTGAATTTCCCAATTTTGGTAGAGAAAAAATCTTTTCCGCAAGCAACTATCAAAGCTTTAACTTTCTGCTAAAAAAATGTTAAAACCAAACAACTGTACTATATAAGATTTAAAGCCACCACGCGGCTCGAACTTTTTGAGCGACCTTTTAAACATTAATTTTAACCGATTTTATGTTTGAATTGGTAGATAACAATTAGTTAAAATTTTAATGAGGGTTTGCATTGCCGATTTCCTGACAATCGGGCATGGAAGTTAAAAAGAAATTACTGCAAGAAGCGATAACCAAATCAGACCTTGAAATACTTAAATGCATTGTTATAGCAATGCTTAGCAACAAAATTTAAAAGTTAGTTCTGAGACGATAAGACACTTGCGATAACATTAGCCAAAGCTACAAATAAAAAATAAGAAATAAAAAATTCATTGATCTTTCTATTGTTCAGGTTTTATTGTTCAATGCAACTAAAAAATTCGCGAAACGTATTATATTTTGGTGGTTAACTTCCATTGCAAATCGATAAGCAATTGAACTTCTCACGAACTGCCTGCCGTTCGACCTTCTTTCGTCGTTAATGTTCACACACAGGTAAATTGATTGGAAAGAATACATTGAGTTCGATCAGCGCTGCCCAAATGATGAAGCACAAATACAAAATGGCACAGATCCAACCAACTGTGCGATCCAGTCGGAAACGGTTTCCCAGTAGCGTTACAAATAGGCAGATAACAGATGCGAGGAGAAATGTCACGGAGTAGGTAAGCCCATTTGAGTTTGGTGAAACCCACATTTCATCTGGTTGATTAGGTAGAAAGTATGCTTTGATGAACCAAGGTACGCTGAGGCAGAGCAAAATATCGAAGGTATTTGAGCCGATGGCATTACTGATGCCCATAGCGCCATGCCCCTGCTTGGTGACAATGATGCTGGAAACCGCCTCTGGTACGCTCATGCCGGCAGAGAGAATGGTGAGCCCCATGACAGAATCGGGTATGCTGAGTGTGTCACCTGGAAGAGGTGAAATATTACTTAAAGGCATTTGTTATTTGCAGTGTTGTCAGAAACTGATATGATAGCATAGGATAGAATTGAATAGGTGAGAAATGAATACGATGGAATAGAAAACGAGAGAGATGAGGAGAGAATATCTAGGAAAGGATGGGATATGATAGGATAATGTTACGTTGAAAGAGAAAAAAAGAAATTTCGATTCCAATGGGAGTCCTATAAATTCAAGCGTATCATAGGCGTTCAAATAATTTTTAGCAGACACTTTGTGACAGAAACATAACCCCGCTTTTGCATGGGGGAGGGCAACTCATTATCAGAAAAATACTTTGCTAACGTTCAAAAAAGTTCACAGCCGAATATTTATTAGCAATGCACCAATTAAATCCGTTATCGTGTACAACCGCTATTTTATAGGATGGCAATGAAGATTAATTTTATTTAAAGTGTCAGTTGAAAAAAAAAAATCAATTCTCTGTTAACCTAAAGTACTTAACTAGTTGCTAACAGCGGGTAAGCGGGTTTTAATGGCTACCATAACTTTTTATGAACGTATGTAGATTAAGAAAGTATATTTTTAACAAATAAAGTTCGGTTAGAAAAAATTAATGGCAACATTTGAGGAGGAAAAAGATAAGCGCAGCTGAGCAAAAAAGGGCATTTGAAAATTAGTATGAAAGTAATAAGCAAAAGTTCTTTATTGACATACTCACCGATCACCGTTATCGCATAAGCCACGACATAAGAAATCACAGCAATCCACACAATCGACGCTACGAAAGTAAAATATTTCGCTCGCGCGTGTTTACGACTATCCGGCACAGTTGCGTACAACAAAAATGTAATGGGCCAACGCAAGAGAAAATGCGGCCACGAAGCATCTTTGCGTTGCCACGGTGTGTCAGCAAAGTCTGTGGAGGTATCTGCGTAGGGGAGAGGGAGAGAGATAGAAAGAGGTGAGCGTGAGAGAGACAAAGCTTTCTATTTATTTATTAGTTATCTCATTTTTAGTACCCACCACTACAGTGATCCGAGGCGACCGTAGAACTGCAGTTATCAGTGTTTTGTGTCATAGATGCGCGACAGCTCTCTAAATCCTCCAAACTTGGATACAGTTGCGTGGAGGAGCAGACAGGTATATAAAACGGCGTGAGGTGGTTACTCGAAGCGCATGTGTTTATACTACGCATAGAAGCTGCTAATCTGCTGTTGGTAATGCTGCCACAAGTTCGCTTTCGACCAATCAGCGGCGTAAGTTCGTTAACCTCCCAATAGCGACCTATTAAATGCAGCCTACGGCGATACATTGAGACGAGACGACGCGCCGAACGCGCCACCCGGTCATTGTTGTACATCACTGGAAGGAGAGAAGGCAGGAGAAAAGCGAGTTAATAAGTTAATAGTGGTGAAAAATTAGAAAACGATGAATAAGTAGTACTTAAGATCTCACTTATGATATGATAGGTTACTGACTCGATTACAGATCTTATGAGCTCAATTATTCATTAACCCTTCGCCACGCTTAGCTAAAGCTCGAGATAAGATTGTCGACAAGAAGATCCGTCGCAGATATAGTATTACAAATATTCCGCATAATCGGCAGTACCATACCGTCCTGAGATTTCAAATGCCTTCTTAGAAACTACCTTAATTCCCAAATAATGTTTAACTTCTTTGATCTAAGTTTCACTCAACACTTACCCGCCATGTAGAAAAAGTACGCCACGAAGAGTAACAATGATTCATACCACATCACCCTTCCATCCCGGAGCGTAGCGATTAGCGCCAGCACTGCCAGGCAATACATTAGACAATCTCGGCTTACAGGCCACCAATTCAGGCGTGCACTTTGACCTACAAAGAGACCACAACAAGCTGGTACCGCAAGCAGATTAAATACAGATGAGCCCACAATAGTGCTAACACCAATGTCACCCTTCGTCACGAATGTACCGATGCCATTCATAAAGAGTTCCGGACTTGAAGTGGCGACAGCCATGAAGGTAGCGCCGACTACATCGGCTTGCATATGTAGAGCTTAAGGTTGGGAGAACAAACATATGTAAGTACATATGTACATAAAATTCAATCAATACTCACTTTGACATATCAACTCGATGGCTGGCAAGAAGTAATCATCACAAATTACCGCCAATAGCCAGAAGCAATAGAGAGCTAGCAGTATATGGAGTACGATCCAACCGTGTTGACGCTGAGTGCGTGTCAAACCATCAGAGGGGAATTCCAAGATTGCTGCTGGTGTACAATTCAATGTGTGCGAAGTGACATTCGAACGCAGCGAAGCGTCGACTGTGTGGATTGTGTTGGTTGTGGCTGTTGGTGTTGCCGCTAACGACGCTGCAGCTCTTATCTCCTCCAAGGGATGCTTTGATGCGGATCGGCTGCTGCTGTAATGGGTTTCTCTGACACTGATGTTTTCTAGCGAGTTCTCTAAATCAATTGCGCTTGTGCTCACGAGACTGAGTAGCTTTCTAGTTGGCTGGTTGTATTGTTTGAGAGGCACTGTTGGAGCAGAAATTTAGTTGGGTTTAATACTCATTAGCTTTGTGTGTGGAATTCAGTTGATATGAAGCTCAGTTTTAATTTAGAATCAAGCTTGAAAGCTTGTTATTAATAATACATACATACATGCGCACATAGATGTGAAGCTGTGGCTGGGATTTTAGTAGACTTTACAACAATTTAATTTTTATTTCAGAGTTAGGTAATTTATGTAACTATTTCAGAATCATTACGCAAGCATATCGCATGTCTTATGGAAGATTTTCATATATTAAACATACGAGAATATACTTTTTGGCAAAAGCATTTTTTTGTCGAAAATTAATAACCAAAATAGCAAGGATTAATTAATCGACAAATAAAAATAAACTTTTATTTAAAATATTTCTTTTACTTATTCCTTTTGCATTTTAATAAATTCTAACTACTTCAGCTATTAAAGTAACAAAATATTTTTTGAATTTTTAAAATATTTTTTTGATTTTTTTTTAAATTAAATATCGAGGGCTTATATTCAATACCCTCTAACTACAATTTTGATGAAAATGAGTTTTTGATGGTAACGTGAGCTCTTATTTATCCTTCAACCATGACAATAATGCCAAACTTAAAATTTTGCTTTTATGATATTATATTCTCATTTTGAAAAATCCACTATCTGCAATAACATTTTG